ACTTTTATTCTCGCTGTAGTATTGTTGTTGCCGCCGCCATGTCGTGAAGGTGCTGTGTGCTTCATTGTGAAAGCGAAACTACTTTGTTTGGTCTTCCAAAAGAGGACGATATCAGTTTCATCATGCCTAGAGCTGATCTGTGCTGGTCGCTGAGGGAATACATCAACTTAGTGCTGTGGATCGCCGGATTGGCTTTCACCGTGGAACGAAGCAGAGTCCAGTCCGGGGTCGTCACATGTGGTAGCCGCTCCTTCGTCGAATCCGCCGGCCGCGCCGTTCTCAAGCCCGGTTCCGACTCAGTCTGTAAGTACGTTTTCATTTAAAGGGGTCATATGATGCTGCTAAAAAGAAGAGTATTTTGTGTATTTGGTGTAATGAAATGTGTTTATGCGGTTTAAGGTTAAAAAAACACATTATTTTCCACATACTGTACATTATTGTTTCTCCTCTATGCCCCGCCTTTCTGAAACGCGTCAATTTCTACAAAGCTCATCGGGCTGAAAAGCGAGGTGTGCTGTGATTGGCCAGCTATCCAGTGCGTTGTGATTGGCCAAATACAAATATTAAATATTAATAATAATAATTATGGATTATAATGACTTATACTGTCTTTTTACATGTTTATGTTATCACGCCGCGTAAATATAAAACCATGTCTGCATTTGTGATCGGAGAAATGACAAACAACAAGCCCTACTCTACACTGCCCAAAAAACTTGCTTTAAATATATAAAATATAAAAACTCTTTAAATATAAAAGACGTACTTACACCGATGAGCTTTGTAAAAATCGACGCATTTCAAAAAGGCGGGGCATAGAGGAAAAACAATAATGTACAGTATGTGGAAAATAATGTTTTTTTTACTTTAAACCACATAAACACATTTCATTACACCAAATACACAAAATAATGTTATTTTTAGCAGCATCATATGACCCCTTTAAAGTAACAGCGCATTGTTTGCAGTAATTATGAACATGAATTATGAAATGTAGTAATTACCATAAATGCTGCTAAAAATCATCAACATAAAGTCTGCTGTATTTCACAGTCAACACATATGGCTTGTTGGCTAGTTTTAAAAGAAAATAGCACTTTTAGATAAACAAGGCAATAAGAGATGGCACTAGTGGAGGCAGGAAAACAAAGTTCTTTATGAACCGCAGGATTGCTTGTAATAAAGATTTCAATGCAAAAGGAAAGGCAGTAGATCTGACTATTTCTGTCAATGGTAAGTTTGTGATAACGTAAGAAAAGTAGTTTAAATGTTTTGCCAATTGCTTGAGCAACTTAATATATAAATCTAGAAGTAAATGCAAAAGTAAAAATCATTGAATAATATGTTGCTTATATTTATT